TCTAATAAATGTTTATAAAGTTCCACTCAATAATTTTGATGTAAAAGTCTAAGACCTCTCACATATCAATCTAACTAACTAATGATTAAACCTACCTTTTAATTTTCTTTTCCTACAGCTAATGATTTAGATTCAAAAATTCAATAGCAAGGATGAAAGTGGTTTTAATAGCAAACAACCAAGAATTGTTCATGTGACAAGAGCAGCAAATTGTAGCCAGTCTAACAGTGACTGCTTAACGTGCACAGTCTGTCGATCCTGGTGATCATGAGGATTTATCTCAAGTGGCAAAATTAATCTACAAATAGTTTTAGTCACAAAACACAGGAGTTTAAAGATTCCCAGTAAAGTGCTAAGTGTATTTATTATGCCACACACAGTGCATGGTAGTAACATAGAACTATCTTCATTTGAAGCTTTGTTTGGTAGCAGGGGCAAAACTACCCCCCTTTTAATTTGGGGGTGTCTGCCAGAATTGCCCTGCCCAAACCGATGATGCCCTGCAGCGAATTTTCATTTCTGGCCACTGTTTCCCCCAAAATGCTGGCGAACAGAGGTGGGTGGGTGGGGAGGGGGTGGAAAATTTTTCTGGACCCCCCCCCTAACTCAAGTTTTGCCCCTGTTTGGTAGGGATGCAACTACCTGAAAAATACAAGGACAATGTTTCGAGCGAAGGCCCTTCGTCGGGAAGTTTGTTGCGGGGTCTGGAAAATTACATGAGCTTTTATGATCATGTGACAAAAATTAAACCAATCAGATGCATTTAGTCATAACAAAGTATATACAAAAAATATTAATAACAATATAGAATATATTAATACAATTATACAGAAAACTACATATACATCTACAAATTAACATATATCAACACTATGTTGTTATTATTTAAAGTTGCATCTCTCACTTTGTATAGATGTTCTTATTCTGGGTTAGATATATTATGCTAATTTGTTTATAGTATTATTTTTACCTAACCATATCATAACCTATGTAAACCATTGTATTTCTTTAAAAAAAACAAGATATCAATTGATGTCCACATCATTATATTTGTGTTGTATGCAATGATTTTTGCCTGCAGATTGATTGAGATAAGAAAATAAAAAGCTGAATGTGCAAATAATTACTTCTGGCAAAATGTATTGCTTTGAATCCCTTGTCTGTAGGTCGACAATAAATGCATGCAGTGCCAGTCAAATGGTCATGAAAGTGGACAACTTTTTCAAACAGATTTTTCTTCCTGTGTGAGTAAACCGTAATACCCAGAGAAAACCTACAACACTTGGTTCAGGGTTGACTCATTTCAAAATTCCAACACCAATATTGCAAAGAGAAATTATATTTTTAATTTTCACTTCACTAAAATATTTGAGTTGTTTCCTTTGCTATCTGGGTATTTATAGAAAACCAGTCATCAGAGAAACATACTCTGACATCATGAAATGGACAACTATTTGGCAATTCCCATTACTTGTTGGTCATTGCCACAGTAACAGTATAAATACATGTAATAATGGTACATACATGCTGATAATTTTGGAGACATAGGTAGAAATGTTATGCATGGGCATTTTAAGAATTACCAATTATCTTAACAATGTTTTGATATGTTTGCAACAGCTGTGAAGAGTCATTGGGTATAAAGGGACCAAGGGTGACAATCCATCACAGAAAGGAAGGGATGGAGGCAGGCAATACACTATTTATCAGCTATTTAGCTCTTATAATAATTAATAATGTCATAATGTGAATGCTGAGAGAGTTTGAGAGAATACATCTTCACAACTGTTACAATATACCTGACTATACTTTATAGTCATTATAATATTTCAGACATTACTAGCAAACATGCCGAGGAAATCCATTGACATTCCACTCTCCAATCCATATATACACTGACACTGTAGTTGAAAAACTTTGCCCAAAGTAGCCAGGCACAACATCCTTGGACAACCCAGATAATAAAGCAAATAACTCCTTGACAAAGCGCATTAAAGTAAAATAAATAACAATAGCCTTCTTGACATCACAGTGAAAACAAAATGGTTCAACAAATCCGTACAAACCCCGAACATTTCCCACGATTATTGAAAACATGATAAACTGAGTAAATAAATATGGGTTTCTGATACTCGTTTTGCTCCCTATCCGCCGTCGAATTCCTGCTAGCCACAGCCGAGCTTCCCTTTGTAGTATTGGCGATGGATTTATGGAATTAGTCATCTTCCGTGGCACATTTAATCCAGAGAATCATGAGCTTCCAGTAAAGTTTCAACTTGCTCGGCACATTCATCCACGAAAAACGCGTCGTTTTGGCAGCTTTTCTCCCGAATGCAGCTACCAAGGGCCTCCATTACTTTCTGAAAATAATCTACCGGCCGTTCGACACAGTTGTCGTTCAAAATATCTTGATTTAAGACCTCGTCAAGACTAAAATTGCCATTTCGAATGGCCGCCATCTTGTCAAATTAATTATGCTTACGCAGCATTTTTTGAAGAATACCGCAGGTCATAATGAATGGCGAACTAGCGTTTTCGCATGCAAAAATGCCAGGCGTGATCCGTACTATGATCTATGGAAATAGTATCGGATCATCGTTGGAAATAGCTATATAATATGGAAATCCAATTTTCATGCTAATTGCAATTTCCATACTATGGATATAGTATGGAAATAGTATGGATATACTATTATATGGATTTAGGGATGCAATCGCAAATTCGATCCATGGTATAGCTATATGGATTTCACTATTTTTTCCAATGCATAGCCAAAGTTCGGGCAGATATGGGCAAATATTTGGATCTCGGAGCATTCCAAATTGAGACAATGATGAAATTTGATTCGCTCCGCCCCGCTATTCAATCTCAGTGATGGGTTTACCGAGTGGCCGACTGGCAGACAGTCAAAGACGTGTTTTTTGCGCACAAAGAACCTCACGAATTAGCCGCGAACGAACACCGCGGAAAAACGTCTGCGCATGCGTCAACCTTACCTGTAATAGTATTGCGAACTTGATGAGAAGCAGTTCCGAACGTTTCCGAAGGCTCAAAATGGCGGTAAAAAGGAGTGACTTCATTGTGCGTCTTTACAGCCACATTTCGAGCGCAAAAATAAACATGTCATTCTAAAAACTAGGAATAAATACAGCCAGAAGGTTCAAGAAATTGTATTGTACAAGAACATGGACTAAAGGTGATTGTTGACAAATTTATCGTCTGAAACATTTTGTTTATCAACTAAGCAACGACAATTTCCGAATTTTCGTTTGAGATACATTTCTTTAAAAAAAACTGTCGCCAAATATAAAAAATTTTCGTGTTCACAATAATTAAACTTTAGGATCTATTCTACAATTTGAGTGGGTTAAGAAGCTTAACTTTTCGAGAGTTTTCTTAACTTTTTAGTTTGAATTTTTGTTTTGAATAATTTTGCAAAAATTTTCGAAGTCGTGTCCGTTAAAATCAACATTTTTTTACATGAATTATATTTCATTCCATACTTTAAATGCCAGGACGCTTTCAATTAATGTCTAGTCTACCCATTTGCTATATTTTCTCGTTTGTTTTCTAATTTTTGACCAATTAATAAGCATGTTTTTGTTTTAGAAATTGATACTCAAATTCCCCGCCATATTTTCATAATTTGGTGCATGCGCAGATGTTTTTCCGCGGTGTTCCGCGAACGAGTGAATGATTTCAAAACGTTCGACTATAGCATTTTTCTGTATATTTTTGTGTTTATACCATGCACCTACACTCCTACAGTAATTAAGTATTTAATGCTTTTTGTATTTTTAAACATATATATTTACATATTGATGGTTTTCATTTTAATTAAAACCTACACAGTATAACTACTCAAACCAACTCAAACCAACACCGCGGAAAAAACGTCTGCGCATGCACCAAATTATGAAAATATGGCGGGGAATTTGAATATCAATTTCTAAAACAAAAACATGCTTATTAATTGGTCAAAAATTAGTAAAACAAACGAGAAAATATAGCAAATGGGTAGACTAGACATTAATTGAAAGCGTCCTGGCATTTAAAGTATGGAATGAAATATAATTCATGTAAAAAATTGTTGATTTTAACGGACACGACTTCGAAAATTTTTGCAAAATTATTCAAAACAAAAATTCAAACTCAAAAGTTAAGAAAACTCTCGAAAAGTTAAGCTTCTTAACCCACTCAAATTGTAGAATAAATCCTAAAGTTTAATTATTGTGAACACGAAAATTTTTTATATTTGGCGACACAGTTTTTTTTAAAGAAATGTATCTCAAACGAAAATTCGGAAATTGTCTTTGCTTAGTTGATAAACAAAATGTTTCAGACGATAAATTTGTCAACAATCACCTTTAGTTCATGTTCTTGTACAATACAATTTCTTGAACCTTCTGGCTGTATTTATTCCTAGTTTTTAGAATGGCATGTCTATTTTTGCGCTCGAAATCTGGCTGTAAAGACGCACAAGGAAGCCACTCCATTTTACCGCCATTTTGAGCCTTCGGAACAGCTTCTCATCAAGTTCGCAATACTATTACAGGTAAGGTTGACGCATGCGCAGACGTTTTTCCGCGGTGTTG